ACGCACTGGTACAACTTGAACTTAAGCCCCGTCTCGATTGCGCGACATAAAAAAACCAGTGCTAGCGAACTACGTGTTAATTCTCGCTACTATCGTTAGTGTTGCGCTCTAACTGGCGGATTCCCAATTAAACTAAGTGGTTGTGCGGGGTCGTATAATGGTGGGAGTAATATATCCACTAATTAGATACAGAGTATTTTTTTGTACATTCCTTTTAGCGTAATTTACAACTAATTCTAGGATTCAGTAGAAAATGTAGGATATACTGGCATAGCATTGAGTTGTTTGTTATCCTGATTCACTAATGAAATGAAATGGCAGATTTATTCAAATTAAATGGGAAAAACAATGGTAAACTTTCTAGAAGAGATATACAAATTCTCCAAGAAATACAGTTCGATAAATTGTGATTTTGGAAATAATAGCAATACATAATAAATTCACAACAATCACTTGGTTACTTCAATAAATCAACATAATATCTATTATGAAAATACTTTATCTCAAAGTGCCTCTGGAGAGAAATCTCTTTCATCAATCAATATTGAAGTGATTACAAATCAACTTGCTATTACAAACTACAGAGGGGAATGAAAACTGCTTCATATCAAAAATTTATAGTATTGATATTCCAATTATGTTAACTGTATTGTGCTTCCAAGCATTGCAAAGATAATAATTATGAAATTGCAATAAAATAACTAGAACATGACAATGTTGATTTACAAAAATTAATGTCATTTAATTACTATCATACGATAAACTTTACTGCCGGTGACATTACAAGCAAGCAAAAAGGCAGCTCTATTTCACTGCTAATCAATAGCAATTAATGTTACATATTAAGCTATTATTTCAAAAATATCTTTGAAATTCTTCTTTAATAAAAGTGCTTCACAAAACATTTTAATGGAAAAGCAATGTAAAGCAAACAATTCTGTAAAAGAATTAAGTTTATATATTTTTCAAATTTGTACAGTGTATTAATCTTTTCATATCCACCATTATTTTTAGAATGTTAGAAGCTTGGTTGTATTACAAAGTGCAATTGATTAATACCTAAAACGATAAGAATTTGGAATGAAAGTACCTTTTTAGTTTCGTACATTAGTCTATTTGACCTTCTCACATATATTTTCCAAATTATTTTACACAATTCTTATTAATTTATTTGATAATTTAAATATCTAAGATTGAATGACTGTTGCACTAATAATTTCCAATTTTCATTGTTTATTGGATCCAAGTCCAAGAAATTAATAATGACATGTAAATAAATTTTGAAAACATTTGTAAACTGTGTTCTTATCTTCATTATTCCAACATTCCATTTCCTAGCAAATCTCAAATAGAATGCCAAGTTGTAATTTGCTTTTTCGCAATTCTAATATCATGGATTTTGATTTACATGAGAAAGACAAACTTTTATCCCACATTAATAATATTAACATCAAAGAGCTGTCATCTTTTACATGTGGTTATGATCAGAAAAACATGCTTTTTGAAACACATGTTATTTTGATATTTAAGAGATGCCTCAAGTATAGAGTATAGAGATTACTCTATACTGAATGACACTTGTTAGTAAACGTTCTGTATGAATTGACACAAAACATACATACATCCTATATTGACATTAACGTCATATCATTTCTAACATGAGGAAAATTTTAATCATGCAAGTCCAGCAATATATATCACATACATACATTAATGCATATATTTTCAAATTATTTCAAGAATATTACAATATACTTGGCAATGTTTTGCTAAATTGATTCGAGAACATATTGCAATCTACGATTCAATCATGTTGGTCATAATGAAAGTGTCTCAATAAAATACGTTAGTAAAAGGAAGTAAATAAAAAAAAATAACGTCCCTCACAAAAACCCATAATAACCAACAGCATCAGATACTATTTTAAAACATTTATTTTCCAAACCTGCTAATTCTTAGGAAATAGCATTCTGTTAACATTTATTGCAGTGCCAAAGCTCACTCAAAAGTACCAGCCTTGGCATAACTTTATTTTAAACCTAGTTTATTCATCTCGAACAATGAAACAAGAAATCTATTAAATTTTATTCCAATAACCTTTAGAACACTTTTGTTTAAATATTTAATTGCTACTAGAGCAAAGTAAGTCGTGTTCAAATTTTGAGATTAATACAACAAGACTGGAAGAAAGCTTGTTTCACAACACAACCAAATACTCTAAACCTTGCTAATCTGAACAAAATTCAGGATGTAGGAAAAATAAACAAAATGCTTATTTTTAGTGTCAAAAAGAATTTTATAATTATTGCAAAAGTGATTATATACCACAGGTTTATATATTCACTTAGAGGAACTTACAAAATCGTTTATCTTTCTCACATAAGGAACAATCTACTTGAAGATGCTACGCTATGTTGCATTGTGTCTGGTAATACTAGATTTATTTGTATTTGCACTGTACATTTTTTCAGATGATCTGAACAGACCACACTCCCAATTAGTTAGGATTATCAGGGTTGTAACGTAGTGTTAATTTTCATTTTAAGAATATTATGACAATTTAAAAGATTAAACTACACAATATCTATTTTTTTAAAAAGTGAGAGTATGAGATGTTTGTAGTAAATTAAAAAGCAAAATGACAGTTCTAGTGTCAATTTGACTTGAAATGCACATTGGCTTCCTTATTTACATAGCCATGTGGAATCTGGATTTAATCTACTCTGCGTCTAAACTGTTTGCACACAAGTAAAGCTAAATTGAAGGCTGCTATCTTATGTAATTAAAATAAAAGTTAGGCAATTTAAATTGCTTCAAAATAATACTTTATATCTTTAAGAATACAAGTCACAAAATATAGTATTGACTGGTTTACATACATTTTATGAAGCACTAATTTCCAACACAATATAGTCAAGATACTTGCAAAAAAAATTAGAGGAAATCAGAATAAAATGTTACGTCTGTAGGATAAAAAATATTCACATTTTATATCTCAATTCAGTCTTATTAATTCCATTTTCAATAATTCTTGTCATTTGATTGGGAAATATGCAACAACCTCAATCAGATATCGAATCCATTACTCCCAGTTTTCAGAAAGTTAGCAATGACAATAATGACATTAACACATCATTACCTTTTCTATCTAAAAAGCTACAACAGGGGAAAAAAAGCAGTTTTTAAAAACACTGTTAAGGCATTTTATTTGAAGTCCTGTACTTCGCAGTAATTGAACAACTTTCTGAATGGTGAAAAAAACAACAAATAAACAATTCTAACATATTGATTCAGTGAGATAAGTAACCTAATTAGGAAGATATAGCGTGATGTACCATTTGAGAAAATAATACTACTAACAGCTTCCATTTTTTTTTACAATGAGAACTGTGTGTCCTCACTTAATATACACAATTCATTAAGACAGATCACACCTTTCAAATAGTCAAGCTAATCTTAATTTTTCTACATATAATAATTCTTCTCTATCAAAATGTTGTTTTGTTCACACCTGCAATAAATTATCTTGCAAATACTGAAGATTTTTTTTTAACACATGAAAGTACTTAAATTCAGTTCCACAAAATGTACTTCCTCCTTTATTAAAAATATCTACATTTCATTCACATTCTAAGTCCCACTAGAAACAAATCTTGTGTTGGACTTCTGTGATAAAAGGAGTTTCTCTTTAATAGATCTGTAAAATTTAAACTAAAAGGTGCATCTTGTATTTTTCTAATATATAAAAAACTATTTTAATCCTCTGTCAAACAAATCATTATTTACACACACACACACACACACACATGTATATATAAAAGAATATATTCTTAACGACGGGATGTCAAATCATCGTGCAGAAAAGTGCAGTGCTTGGTGCTCTAATGTAAAAATTCTTATTTTTTATAAAAATTATATTGAATTTAGTTTTCATGTGATAAGTATTATGTTTGTTTTACAATCGAGTCTTGAATGTGAGATGCGTACTCGTGACGTTGCACTGTTTCCGGCCAGTTTCCGGCATCTGCTGTGTTGCGACTAGGGACCTGTGCATGTATATGACCTGTATATGACCTGTATATGAACGTAAGGAAGTCATTTAAACCGGAACTTCGCGCTCCGGCGAAAGGGGAAATCTACGGGGGGGTGGGTGGATGGCGAGGGGAAGCATGAGGGGAGGGGGTGGTGAGCAAAGTGTGTAACGTAGCACATGATATAAAAGGCAAAGTGTGGGCGGTTTCGCCGGCGAAGCTGCAAATTAAAAAAATTGTAAAGAATACCCTTTAAAATAATTTTAATGGTTCGTAATTAGTCACGAACGTGATGCCAAAAGTTCGGAGGGGAGGGCAATTTCACCGTATCTTGTCGGTGCCTAAAGCGTGGAGATTGTGATTTATTTCTGTGTCGGGGTTGCTGTCGCACATTTACGTTTATTGTGTTCTTCAGACTCTTTGTGATTTGTGTGTTTGAGTGTCGTGTGTCTGTGCTACGATGGTGAGAATAAATATGGCTTTTTTTACGCGTTGCGCCGAAGGGGGTGTTTGGCTGTTTTTGAATGGGCGCAAGAACGTGGTTTGATTGCTACAGG